TCACCACTTTCGTTTCTCACACGTAGCGCAGCAGCGATGGACTCGGTACCAACTGCCAAAAACCCTGAACCGATGTGCCCATCCTATCTATAGACTACCACTACCCTCGACTCGACCTAAACCGGACTGACTGACCGACCGGTACCGTATCTGTTTCGGCCTCTCGGCCTCTACCGGACCCGGCTATAGGCTATAGGCTGTCTCTTATACACATCTAGATGTGTATAAGAGACAGGTCCTAGGGGAAGCCCGGGCCTGCTATTCGCAGTTAGGGTAGCTGTAGGGAATCCTGTTAGTATTGGGCCTGTATTTTCCCGGATTTGCAGATATGTCCCTCACGAATTGCCCTCACAGGTAGGTCTCTCGGTTAGTCCTCAGCCAAACAAAATTGCGAATCTGTCCTAGCTATAGTACAGCCTCGACAGAGAGAGGCTACAGGCAACCAGAAAACAGCAAGTCATTGCATTCAGACTGAGAATTACACGATGATGAAGTAGCAGCGGAGTGTGTAACAAACTATAAGCTAGTATAAGGGTACATCCACTCTTAGGATCAAATTTCCTATGGAATTTCTCCACATGCATGTAGTAGTTAAAGGTCACGAAAGGGCTCGTGGTCTGCATCCAACTCAACATTATGTACTTGACCCTCGGAACACTCCACAGTGCAGACCATGAGCCCTTTCGTGAGCTTTAACTGCAGACCACGAGCCCTGTGGAATGTTCTGAGGGTCACGTACACAATGTTGAGTTGGATGCAGACCACGACCCGACATTGTGTGACCCTCATTTGGTTCCTTCCAATAGGTGGTATGGCCATTCACATGCCACCATGCCAACCCGATAACAACATGGAAAGGGCATCCATCCATCCATGATAAAAGGTCCAATGAATGAATGTGGCCTGGTCGCCAACTTTTGTCTGGCAAGGATGCTGCAGATCGTCTGCGTTCATTTCAGGATGCATATTACAGACGCAACACACGGAAATAAAGTTAGCGATATCAACATTGTGATGTACGTGCAGTTGAGGGACACCCGGAAATAGATCAATTTCACACCCTCCCTCTTGTCTTCCTTCTTGATCTGATTCACTTAGAGCATGAAAACCAATTTCTTTTCAGTCATTTCGAGTGCGGCCCCAGGCCTCGGTGCTTCTGTTAATGGCCGCGCATGGAAAAGTAGGCTGGCCTTAAGTTAAGGCTGTGCCAGAGAAACGACTAGGCCCTGATTTGGAGCCCATCCTAGGTAACTAGTCAGTAGGCCCCTTTTAGAATGCTCCCCAGATGATACATGGATGGGACCCAGACCCAGGTCAGTAGGCTGACAGGGACTGCCTATACTTCGGCGAATGACCTTGAAGCAAACATCCGAGCTCAACAAATGAACAAACACGTGCAGCAGCTACTTTGGCACTACATCACCCATGATCAACTTCTTCCCTTGCCCAATGCCTAACGACCTCTCCTTCCTTCCACGTACCCATCCATCTGCCGTCTCATGAATAAAGCTGTGTTATCGTGCTAGATTCCGTCGCTTTTCAGCAATGCATTAAGTTCGACTAAATCTAGGGCAATAACCTGGCCAGATTCATCCCCCCCAAAAAATTCCGCAGAACATGGTACCAACAGGTATATATGCTACAAATGTCGTCCAAAAAGGCTTATCTGTACACAGGTGGGCATATCTGTCGCAGGGGTATCTGCTGCAAAACTCAGACAAATGGGTACTCATCATAATTCCTGTAATAATTTACTAATTTAGTAATTTGCCCTTTGAATTTTGCCTTTGTTGTTGCAACGGTGTTTTGTTTGTCCTTGGCCGTTTTTTTTTCAATGGACCGCAGGGATATTCCTGAATGGATTTCACTTGTTCAGCCTGAGTCCCAGGTCCAGTCCCAGAAGTCCCAGGGTCCAGCGTCCCATGTATCATAGCCAACCGGTAGGCCCTCAGGGCAAAACCCTGCTGTAGGGTCCAGCAGGTTGATAGGAATTTCGGTAGGTCGTCTGAAGTCAGATCCCCAACAGCAAAAAACTCTCAGTCCCAAAACTAGCAGCAGCAACCAAGGAAAGTCCAGAGAAATCCGGTACCGATAAAACAATTGCAGCCGACAGGCCAGGGACTTGACGGTCCAACGCACACGATTGTCAATTGCAGCGAGTACAAGAGGCCGCCGCACTGCCATAAACAAACACTTGTTCATTCAAAATAGTGTGAAAGCACCGCTGCGAGTTCAAGTGCAACTCGGTCAACGTTATTGGGCATAGAGGGGAGTCTACGGCGCAGGGCGCCATAGCTAGGACTATAGGGTTGATGAAGAAGAAGGTCAAGGGGGAGGAGAGAGTGAAAGAAGAGGTTGAAGACATCCAGAGAGGAAGGCGATCCATGAGTGAGAGGGAGAGAGGGAGAGGGAGAGCGAGGGAGGGGAGAACTTACCTGGATTGAGTCGAAGGCAGCCATAGTTGCTGGTTGTATACTACTTGGAACTCTGACATTAATTTTTGAGTTTTCATAATAATTTTTAGTTCTTATCTGGTTATCATCTCGTTGCATTTGTGTACACGCTTGGTGTGTTGATTTGCGAGTATGCATGGATCTCAATTGGATGGGGATTGAGCGGGACCATTGCCTTCCAGCAATTTCTGCAGCCGGGACATGTGCGAGGATGTGGCTCCTCGGCAGGCCTAAGGGGGCCCTTGGTGCAGATGTGCCCGCCCTAAGTGGAGGCGGGCCTAACAAATCATGAAAGGCCCAATGTTGTCAATTTCGTATTTGGGGTTCAGGCAGTTGTGTCGCGTCAGTTGGTTGAGGGAACCCAGGACCTGAGCTGCAAATATTTTCCACGGCCTTCTGGGCCTTTTCTGAAATGCAGGCCCTGGGCAAGAATCGCAGCATCATACACAGACAGTTGGGAGGCCCAACCGTACGAGGCCCAGCAACTGCAACAGAGGCCCAGTCTCTTGGGACCTACCGGAAGCTTCTGGGCACAGGACCAGCCCAGCCAGGCCGCAGGGCAGGCAGACTCTTTCCATATAGGAAAGAGCCCGCCGCCTGGAGCCTCATTCGGGCACTTGCAAGCTAGCGGCAGCTCTGCTGGAGTGAAGCCTCGCGGGCTGCTGCTTGCGCTAGAGGCAAGGTGCTTCGCACATGCGGTCGTGTACGAGGAAGGGCGCTGCTGAGGGAAGCGCCATAGCCCAGCCTTCATAGCTGGCTGGCGCTTGGTTGCACAGCAGGGCACAGGGTGGTCTTCGGGTGTACAGAGGGAAGACGTGGGTGGAAGACGAGGAAGGAGGCAGGATGATGATGATGATGATGCTGATGATGATGTGAGGGCATATACCTGGTATTGGCGATGGTCTGCATTGGGCGACATCTTAAAGTACTTAGTTGGCTGCTGACGTTAACAGTTGCATTGTCAATTAGTAGGCAGATAGTAGCTGTGTAGGGAGTAGCCTGGGCACCGAGCGCCAAGTAGGGAGAAGGGGCCTGGATACTGTTGTTGGTGGTGGCGAGAGCAAGCTCTCATTGACATTCAGTTTTCAGTGGTACGATTCTCCATTGGTGTTATATTGGTGCAATGCTGCTTTCTGGACACTGTGATACTTTCTGGCTTTCAATGTGATTGTGCAATCTGGATTTTGTCATCTCGCTATTGCTCATTTTCCTTGCAATTTGGTATCAGAGCTGGTTCGAACTGCGCTTTACTGGTTCTTCGCAATAGCTGTTCGGTGCTTCGCATGAGGTGTGGGGCAGTGATAAGGCTTGGGCGTTGGACAATAGGCGGCCCAGGGTCATGTGGGCGCGTCTGGAAGGCTATGTGTTGACATAGGGGTGTACGCTGGATGATGAGAGCTCGCTGATGTGGCATTTAAGCCACGGTGCAACTCATGTCAGTAGTCGTAAGGATTTGACCATCACCTGGTAGGCCCAGAAATAAAGCAAGGTGATGATTCTTTCCGGTACTGTCGTGTGCTGCCTGAGAAGTCAACGAGTCGAGTGGTACCTGCCCATGGAAGCATCAATTCGGGCCCAGGTGTTGAGGCAACTAGGCCCAGAGACCGCCGGGCTGGGTGGACTTTCAGAATATAAGCCCATGCAGTCTGGTCCAAAGGGACAATTGATGAGAGGCCAGCAGGCTGTGGGAATGCTGACTGAAAAGAAGCCGAATACATGCACTAGGGCCCTCTCTGATGCTCATACTGGGTGGATGTGGCCGGCGGGGCACTAGCCCTCATAGGGGATTAGTCACAGAACTGTAGGGTGATTGCTCATCTGAACTTGCAGACCATCATATGGGCGCACACACACACACACACACAGAGAGAGAGAGAGAGAGAGAGAGAGAGAGAGAGAGAGAGAGAGAGAGAGANAGAGAGAGAGAGAGAGAGAGAGAGAGAGAGAGAGAGAGAGAGATCCCTCAACCAAGAAAAAAGAAGAATTACACTTTCTATTTATTCATGATTGTTTTCTATTGGGAAAACATATTATAGATTATGATTTTAATTCATTATAAATGAACTATTTTATAAATTAAGTATATTGTAAGAATTAGAATTAGATTCAAAAAAAGAATAAAAAGGATAAGTCATATATTTTCTTATTTTCTTCTTTTATAGTTTTACACTATAAACTTAAGCATTTATAGAAGGAGCATCCACAGATGCTAGATCCAACAATTTATTTAAAGGAAGTGGGCTCCATGGTTTGCATTCTTTAACTTGGAAAAGAAAAATATATAAAAAAACAATTCACCTTGTACGTCAGAGAGAGAGAGAGAGAGAGAGAGAGAGAGAGAGAGAGAGAGAGAGAGAGAGAGAGAGAGAGAGAGAGTCCGACCTAACCACGCTGAAAATCGTTACAGTCTAAACTTTGACATCTGTTTTGTGACCTTCCTTATCAGATCATTGGTCCACGGTTTCCCATCATGTTGGAGGGTGATGCTGGTTGATTGTTTTTCCTTATTGGTGCTTTTGTTTTCTGGATGGACATTGCCTGCTGCAGGGGAATTGATGCCCCAGAGAAAGCCATGCCTTATGGACCAGAAGCAAGAGAAGAACTACTATCACTTGTAATGGGGAAATCAGTCCAAGTACATGTGTATACAACCGATCGTTATGACCGAGTGGTTGCAGACATCTACTGCAACAAGCTATTCATACAGGTATTCACTGCTCCTTCTCCCCGACATGCTTGGTCGACTCACATTTAGTATATGCGCCGTGTGCGGACCTCCCACATAGGCCCCGGGGAACCCAGCCTTGGACTTTTGGGCCCTAAGGCCACAAGGCTATCATTTTTGGCGGTGGTAGGGCTGAGGTGCAGTTTCTAGGCCTTGGCTATTTTTCCTTCAGTTGGAATGGGTTTGTTTAAATGTTTTTCCCTTTTCTGACATTTTTCTCAGTGGTTTCATTTTCTTCAGATTTTTTTTTGTTCCTCCTGGGTTTGTCTTGTCTGGGATAGTATCCTATTGGATTTTTGCATGTCTGAACAGGCACAAGTGCCTGTTAGAGTGCCTGTTCAGAAAGTGGAGTCCGGTTCACACGTTTTTGGGTCATTTTGAGGTTACCACTGATGCTAGTCAGTATGGGATTGGGGCAGTTTTGCAGCACGATAAAAGTTACGATTTTTTAATGACATTTTAAATATTTTTATGTATAAACGCCTACCCTCTGAAAAATGGCCGAGTCTACGTATGAGAGAGAACTTTATACGCTTCTAGAAGCGCTCGCCACTCGGAAGCACTACTTGGTACGCAGAGCCTGGCAGACAACTTCAAGGTCTATTCAAACCAGGAAACAGTGACGTAGCTTAAGACACAGCCGGGACTATTTGATAAGCAAGATGGTTTACAATAATTGACACCTTTGACTGTGAACATAAGACCATCATAGGTATGTACAATATATTGGTAAACACCATTTCCCGACGATCTAACTTCTTTTTGGGTGCTATCATCACCCATCTTAATGTGGGAAGTGAACTTAAAGAGAAGGTGAAAGCTGGTTATGCTCAAGAGTCAAAAGACTCAAAACCCTATTTGGAGAAAGATAATCCAGAGTCTAGAAGCGAACTCGGAAAACTTCCCATAATATAGAATGACTGATGGCATACTCTTCCAGACCAGCAAAAAAAGGGAAGAATCTGTGTCCCTAATGACGAATCAATCAAGAGTATGATAATAGGAGAATGTCATGACAGAGGGACATTTCGGCTGGATGAAGACCTATGTGCTAATGTTTTGAAAAAATCGTGTGCCAGGGCATGGCAGAAGATGTGATTACTTCCGTTTGAACTTATCTTGTCTGTCAAAGGAATAAGCCTTTCCGCGAGAACCCTTTGGGGCTGCTTAGACCGCTACCTATTTCAGAAAGGACCAGGGGGGTATACATCCATAGACCTCATGAGCCTGCCAAAGACTAGGAGCGAAAGCAGCCAAGTCATGGTCATCATCGTAGATCGATCCTCTAAGTATGCAATATCTATCCCTCTACTGGCCGAGACAAAAACTGACCTTGTGTCCTTCGGGACATCCATTAAAATTGGAACGATACAGAGAAGATTAGCATGGCCCCTGCGCAAGGATGACACGCATAAATCGAGAAATGGTCCAATTTAAAAAAAAAAANAAAAAAAAAAAAAAAAAAAACTGACCTTGTAATGCAGAAAATTTAGATGCGATAAGTTACTGAATATGGATTCCCAAAGACAAATTTTGTCTGATAGAGATGTGCGATTCACAGGACAAGACTGGCAAAAGTTGACGGAAGTCTATAACACTCAACTGACTATGTCATAAGGCAGACTCCTTAAGACCAATGGTCAGACTGAGCAAAAAGAAATAAACAGACTATGCCAACAACATCTACGAATGTATGTAGTACGTACGTCCTGACCAGATTGATTGGGACGAGACCTTACCTAAGATAGCAAGTGCGTACAACAACTCTATTCATATTGTAACCAGGAGAAAACCCAAGGTATTGCACAAAAGGATGGCGACCTAGAAGACCTATGGATTCTATACAAGAGACCAGGTCTAGAGGTTACCCCTACGTCGTCGCGCATTTGGCGTTTTATATGAGGAAGATATAATGAAAGTCAAAGAGAGCATAAAGTAGGCTCAGGCACAAATGAGTGACCAAGCTAATAAACTTCGAAAACCCTCAAACTTCAAAGAAGGGGATTTGGTCTGGGTAATGTCAAACGAGCTCTCTTTAGAACGAAGAATGACACAAAAACTGTTACCTGTCTATTTATTATGGGCCATTGGAAGTTCTCAAAGTGATTGGATATCAGGATGGAGCCATCTTGTCTCATTGACGTACCGGCGTACCCCACATCTCAGGACATACCCCATCGTTCACGCATCTAGATTATTACGCTACATTTGAGGAGATGACTTCCCCAATCGTCTGTCTATGTGCCCACCTTTAATGGATGGCGGGTATAAAGTTGAAACATGGGTTTTTCTATACAGGAGGAAAGGGAAGACCTCAAAGGCAGTATAAGGTAAAGTTAAAGCACCAGTACACCACACATAGGCCCGCGGGTGTCAGCATGAAACCCGCATCACCTCGGTGACCGCGAAATTCCTTTTTTTAACGATGCCCCTGGCGGTGCGGCGCCTCCGAGTTTTGCTTGTGGCGACAAAAGCTTTCTGCAAGGCTGGGGCCGTGTACTAGCGGTTTAAGTTCCCAACCTGAACTTGAAGAGAGCTTTTTTTCTTGTTTTTTTTTTTTTTTGGACTAAGCCAATCAAAGAGAGTTTTTACCTACTGCTACAGATATAGTTGTGGACAAAGAGAAGAAAAAACATACCCAATGAAGAATGAATGGATTTAGGCAATGAAACTTGAGATCGTGATGGCAGTAGTGTAATAAACTTAGTTCAAACGTCAAAGTCCGCATAAACATCGTGAGGCCAGGGGCGTGACGTTTGGTCCAAGTCAGATTCAAGGGTCAAACGTTGTGTTTATTGTCTTAGAAGGGTCTAAGAAGAGCCCTTGGGTAAACAGGTATAGGGGTCAGGGTCAAACGAGGCTGCCTGTGCCCCACGCCAGGTAGTTGACTCCGGAAAATTACGTGGGAGAAGGGGGTCAAACGAGGCATAGCTTAGAGGTAGGGCGAGGAAGAGGGTGATCAGGACTGTGCAGAGAGAGAGTGAGAGAGTGTGGGAAGCTCACCTTGACTTGCCTGTTGTGCTCGTGATAGTGGAACTGCTGTTCATCACACTTGGAGGCTGAAGGAAGGCAGGCGCCAACCTCCATAGCCAGCATTCGGGGGAAGGAGGCTTGCATGCTGAGGTGGCAAGTTGGTGGGAGAAGGTCCCCGAGCTGAAGAGGGATGGAAGAGCCCTTTCAATTGTAGTATTGAATTGAATATCAGAATAAGTACCATGTAACTAAATATACATTACGTAAAATTAATATTTTCATCTTCATGTAATAAAAAAAGACAAAATAGAAAAGTAGAAAAAACATTCAATATGTTCTACAAACTAGAATTAATAAAAACAATCAAACAAAGTATCTTTAATGGGAAGACTCCTCCCTCTCTCTCTCCATTGCTTCTCTACCTTTGTCTCACTCCTGGTGACTCGCTGCTTTTATTCTAGCTACTTAGATGTTTCAGTTCGCTAAGTCGACTTCGTTGCGGTGTCTCTCTATAGGAAATCCATGGATCAAAGAGAGCTTCTCCCCATGGCGTTTCGCCTTTCATTGCGTCCTAAGTCCTTTCTTTCTCAATGCCAAGGCATCTACCCAATTACCGAATCATCGGCACTTTGGTTCCGTTGATTCCAGGTTGGGGAGAATACTTTCAAGTTTTCGGAATCCTCTGCAATCTTTCACCGTATGGATTTCCGGATATTTCAACAACTTCGTGCATCGGTCTTTCAGCTTGACTTGTTCTGCACTGTGACTGGTTCCATTTTGAGTGCATTGTGACTACTTGCTTGATTGTGGAAGCTACTCATCATTGTTGGCTCATTGCAAAAGTGGAGATGATGAATGTTACTTTCAACTCCCAAAGTCGCATGATTACCGGGCTGATGTGCCTATTCAAGTTGTGAACTGAGAAATGGACATGTGCACATGTGGACCTTTGTGTGGGGATAATTGGTTTGTATGGTCAGGAGCAAATGTTGAAGAGAGGATATGCTTGGCATTACAAAGACTACGACAAGCGCGACTCCCTTGCTGAGGTTTGTTTTTGGGTCACCACTTTGAGCTCTTCTCAACTGAAAATAATAATTGGATTAAAGAACTGGCTGAGCCCATCCAATCATTTCTACCCAGATAGATCGTCGGTGCAGATGAATGACCATCCATGAAGCAACACAGCTGATAAATAAGCCCCTGCCTCGAAACACAACAAACGCTGACACAGAGCAAGCAGGAATCCTGGTGTGCAGCAAAAAGAGTTTAAAAGACGCAATCATTTCAAAGTATAGAGTCCTAAAGAATGTTTCAATGCTTACTTCCCCAAAGCTGGGTGGAAAACCGGTTGCTGCAGTGATTATTTCAAACACCCACACGCACACAAGTGGGTGTGTAGAGTGGGTTTTATGGTTGTGACAGACTAGTTCTTTGACTTGCTGTCATTCTTCTTGGGGGTTTGGGCAACAGACTGCTAGGACTATAGGGTTGGTATGAAGTTACTATGAACACATTTCTCAGGGGTATCTCTTAACTCTGGGCAACATGGGAAGTCCTTACATGTCAGTCAAATGCATTCTGGGCAGACCATTGGGTTCTGTTGGCGGAGGTGTGACAAAAAACAGTCCGGGACAGTCGTGCTTTTTCTGTGGAGTTGTGTACAACACACAACGCAGCCTTGCTGAGCCCTCCGTTCGGGTGGATTGATGGGGGTAGGGTCAGGATTGTATTAGCGGTCATGCGTGTGGGTATCCCTGGCTGAGTGGGTGTGTAGAGTGGGTTTTATGGCTGTGACCAATCTTTCATACCAGTTAACCGCCAACACCGACTGCCGACCGTTCTGCGGCCTACCGATAGGGGCGACTGGTTGCCAGTCTACCGACCACTCGCTGCAGGGTCATCCACTGATTTTATTTTTTAATCTGAGTTTGGGACTGTACTGCGCTTGCTGGGTACATCCCAACCCCACTGAGAAACTTCGGTTTTGGGGAAGGGGGTTGGGGGG